GCCTCTTCTTTGCTCAAAACCCTCCAATGACTACTTAGAAACAAAAGCCAACGTCCCTGCATGGCTTCCAAGGGCCTCTGTCATCTGACCTGTTAAGCTCTGGCGTGCCCCTTTCCTCTCTTCAGGCACCCTGGCTTTCCTGTTCTTGCTGGAACAGGCCAGACCTGTCTTTACTTTGGAGTCTCTCTGTCTGCAACCCTCTTCCATTAGATACCTGCATGGCTTCCTCACTCCCCTCCAGTAACTTCAGGGTCACTTTCTTAGAGCCTGCGTCCCTGTCCAGCACCTCACCCTGCTTTGTCTTCATAGCTCTTCCTACCACTAGCCACCTGATATTTTCCTTTGCTTATTCTTGTTTATCATCTCTGACTACATCAACCCCTTGAGAGCTGGGGCTTCTAAGGGCCATGGGATCCTGCTGCACCGTGGGCTCCCCAACTGGGCCCTGGGCCAGGGGGAATAGGCTGGACTCCATCCTTGTGCTTTTGTCTAGCTGTAGTTTAGTAAAATAAAGCCCTGGATTGACTCACTCAGGCTGTTGCCCTGGCCCCACTGTGTCCTCCTGGCTAATTTCTTCAACTTGCTGAGCCTCAGTTTCTTTGTGTGCAGAATGGGCATACTGACTCTCCCTTGCAGGGCTTTAAGGAAGCAAGAAGGCCACCAAAGTAATGATCCCCTCAGCAGTGAAATCTCATTTGATGCTCACAGCAATTCTAAGAGGTATGTATTCTTTTTAAAAAATTAAGAAAATCTTTATTTGTTTGGTACAGGGTCTCAGTATGCAGCTCAGACTTGTAGTGATCCTCCTGTCTCAGCCTCCCCAGCACTGGGATTATAGTCGTGCGCCACCATGCCCAATTTTGGTGGCCAGCATGGCATGTGATACAGGGTATTGAACTTGGGTCCTTGTGCTTTCCAGGCAGGTGCTTAGACCACTGAGCTATCTCCTGAAACCATGAGGTAGGTATTCTTATCAACTCTTATTTTACAGATGAGGAGGGAGAGGCTCTGGGAGAAATGACCAGTTAAATTAACTCTATCTATTCCCTTACTCACTTCAAAGTCCAATCTTAGCTCTGGGTGAATAAGAGTTTGATGACACTGGGTAATGAGCGGGGGGAATTCCTGCATGTGTTTGGAAAGAGTCTGAGATTACATTCAGACTCAGGGAGGGAGATAGTGCTGCAACCGATTAGTAATGTCTGCTCTGGGCACAGAAATGAGTGTGAAGTGAGTCCCATCCTTTTCCCTCCTTGCTCTCAAGTCCTGTTCATAGTTCAGCCCCTACAGAGGTTATCTGTCACAAGGAGCACAGCAGACAACAAGAGCATCTGGATTGTTCTAGTTCAGATCTTCAAAGGCCCATGAAGGCTTGGGGCATGAGGTACTAATGGGAGAGTATGGAACTTTAGGAGGTGGGGTCACTGAAGGCATGCACATGAAAGGAATCCTGGGACTCCAGCTGCTTTCTATCTTTCACTACAGGACTCCCATACAGCATGCTCCCACCAGAGGCCCTAAACAATGGGGCCACATGACCATCGACTGAAGCCTCTGAAACCATGAGTCAAAATAAGCTTTTCCTCCTGATTTTGTCATAGTAATGGAAAACCAACACATGGTCCAACTTCCAAACTCGCCTCCAGAGTCCCTGTCCCCTCTCACCAAAGACCTGGGTGATACTAACATGTACAGAGAAAAGGTGGCCAAAAGGCAAGATTTTCAAGTTTCTTAAGGCTCTCCTCAGACTCTCCGCCTCTCTCCCCCGGCATCTCTCTCCGCTGGTATCTTCTTTGCGATCTCAGATCTGAGCATCAAACCACCAGGGTGGCATTACTGTATCTATTTTACAGATGAGTAAATTCAGGCCTCTGGAGGTTAGGTTGTTCCAGATCAAACAGCTGCGGAGTATCAGCCACAGGTTGTACTTGAACCCCAGCATTGCTTACTACATCATTTCAACTCCAAGGGAGACAGCGTATTCGGGGACCCTGCCAGGCTGTGTGTTCTCCCAGCCTTTGGGCAGCCACCCTGAACCTGGTGGAGACAAGCCCCATTTGACTTCATGACTGCGTGATGCTACTTCTTTTTCATTTTCTTTTGTTTCTCTGAGGCCTCTCTGGGGCCTCAGAGCTCCTCCTTTCTGACATCTGTCCTCAGAGGCAGGGGAGAAGCAGGCTGCCCCTGCCCCTCAGGGAACCCCATGGAGCTGCCATCTGCTGGGTGATGAGAGGGGGCTATAAGGCATCATTTCTCAGAGCCTGGGTCCCCAGGCAGCCCTGGGCCACCCTGCATCACTGGGGCCTGAAGGAGAAGAGTCCCTTACCTCCACTCTTCCTGAAGAACCAAGAGCAGCCTCCTTCTTGCCCAGGGTGTGGGGCAGGTCCTCTCAAGACTGGCAAATGGTTCACAGACCTGGCAGGGGCAGCGGAGATGCTGATTCCCTCCTGCAGCCACTCAGCCCCAGAGCCTGGGTCTTCCCCAGGTCAGGCATTCTCTTCCTTTCCTGCTCTCAGTCCTGCCTCCTCCCTCTGCCTCACATTCTCATTACCCCACGAGGGTTGGCCGCTGCTACTGGCTTTCTGTGAGGAGAACAAAGGAGCTGGAATGCCTGGAGGTGAGCCAGGGTTGGATGGGGGAAGAGGGGCCAGCCTGGCTTGATAATGTCCATGCCCCTCCTGAGAGGCCAGTGACCCTACTTCCCCAGTGTTTGCAGGAACTGGGGGATCTGTACGTGCAGTCAGCTGGCCCTGCTCACGCTGCCAGCCTCCCTGCTGCACCCAGAAGATGGGACCTGCTTACTCTCTGGACCTTTTGAGCTCTCCCTTCTAGAAGTGAGATCTTGCTTGGGGAATTTCTTGGTTTATTTTTCCTTCTGGGGACTTGTCCAGATGCCCTTCTAAAATGGCCACAGTTGGGAGTGGGAAAACCAAACTAGGAAGAAACTGGCTACTACCCTAAACTTAGCAGTTTTTAGGGGTTCGATATCTTTGCCGGATCTGGCTAGAACACTTTGTGAGCAAGGAGAGTTAGGGCAGCTGCCCATGATTTCCTCACGCCTGCTCTACCCAGGACTGGGTGAGGTGTGCTCCAGGCTATTAGGATGCTTCTGGGACTTCCAGGTTTCTTTCCTGAGCACTTCTGTGTCTGGTGCTTTCAGGGTTCCAGAGCATCTGTAGTCCTGTGCCCCTACCAGAACCTGTGAGTGGGCCTCTGGGCTGTAAGCTGGGTAGCGTGCCTGTCATCTCATTCACCTACCCAGCCGACCATCTGCTGAGCAGCTCCTCCATGCCAGGATTCAAGTCTGATGCTAGGAACAGGGAAGGCACAGTCTTTGCTTTCTAGAAATTCATCTCTACATGCAAGCAAGCACAGGACTGGATAATAAGTGAGTGATTTCTAGAACAGATCTGAAGAGGGGCTTCAGATGGGGATAAGTCAGAACAATGCCATTTGTTAGTTTAGATGGACCAGGCTCCCAGAGCTAGAGATCAACCTCAGAAGGTTCTAGAAAGCTTTCCATACTCAGCACTCCCAGCCTGGACCTTTCCCAGATTTCTCCACTGCTGGCTGCTCCTGTCGCTCCAGCAGGGAGGAGAACGCATCACCTCATTGCAGCGGTCTTCTCCGCTGGCTTGTGACTTAGGCTTTCATTTCCTGGTTGTGTCACAGTAACAGTGATGACAGTGACAAGTTATTGATCTCGTACCATCCAGCAGAAATCATTTTATCCACTCTTAATCCTCACTCTCCTTGGATATTCACAGTAGCCGAGTTCCCCAACCCCTACGGGGTCTTTCTAGGTAGGCCAGCTTGGCTTTGGCCCAAGTGGCTCTGCACTTGTGATATTCCTGCCTCAGTTTCTTGAGTTCTGGGATCACAGGCTACTCCTCAAACTCTGATGCATGCTGGACAGTCAACCCCACAGCCAGGCTACCCCACCCCCTGGCACAAGCGAGAAGATCCTGTTCACAAGGGCTACACCGGCTCCCCTCATCTCCACTGCACCAATCTCCTGTTTGGAGATTGAACAACCAGGGCTTTGACTATGTGCAAGATATGCCCCACCTCAAGAGGCATGACAGGTAATTAGTGGTGGAAATCTGAACAGATGTTACAGAGGAACACAAAATATTACTCAGAGTGACTGTGGGAGTGTCCCTGACCACCCCCCCCCCCTCTCTCACACACACACACACACACGCACACTCACAAACGCGCGCACATGCGCGCACACACAGGCCTGGCTTCTTAAGGAGAAGGGATGGGCAGTTAAGTATGTCCTTCTGAACTGTAAGATGTGCTGGTAGAGTTAGGGGATCAGGACATGCAATGTCAGAAAGCAGGTGGCTGCCACAAAAGGCAGTTGGTAGAGGTGGGGCTGGTGTAGACTCAGGAAAGGTTGCGGCCCTTTCCCCAAGAAGACTGGAATGGGGCAAAAACCTATCTAATGGCTTCATTAACGGAGTTTTCCAATAGGGCTCTGTCAGATCTTCCCAGGACAGGCAGCTCCAGGGAATAGTTCCTGTGGAGCCCCGAGTGAGTGAAACACCCCTGTGGGCATGTACTTTTGGGAAGAGCAGCAGGTTTTCATTTCCCAGGGGAGTGTCACAGCACACATCATGGCATTAAAGGCTCTGAAAAATCCTGTGGTAGCATTACTTTCCTCAGCGAGCCTCATCCAGCCCTTCCCATGCTTATGGCATGGGAAGGTGCATGTGTGTATGCGTGTGTGTGTGTGTGTGTGTGTGTGTGTGTGTGTTCCCATTAATATGCCCCAGACAAGCCCTTATCCACATTTGGGAAAGAGATGATACTGAAGAATGGACAAAGTAGGATGTTCAGTTTTCAGAGAACATTTCAGAGATGTCAGGTTTCCCCCTCCCCCATCATGCCCCGCCAGACCCCTGCAGGTCCTCTGCCAAACATCCTACAGGTGTTGTCTGCAACCCCAACTCCCACTCTGCTCCTCAGTGGTGGGGGGCATGGGGGAGACTTACAGGGGCAAGGGCGTTTGAAGGACATGTAATCCTTGGAGCAGAAGAGCGGAGCCAGCCTGCCCCTGGGCACAGCTCTGACTTCTCGCCGGGAAGGCCCCTCCACTCACCTGTGGAGACACAAACAGGCAGGTGATGGGGTAACCCGCACCGCACCCATCAATCCTACAAGCTGGGTGTGCACATCCCTTGAGCTGCCAAGGGACAGTGACTGTGGTAGCAGCTGGGCCACCAGGAACCCCTGGGCTACAGAGTATGGGGTTGTGGGCTCATGGGTGAGGCCAGTGGGTGCCTGGGGTGGCGTCTCTGGGTGGACTGTAGTGGGAACTAGAGGTTCCGTGGGGCTTTCCTGCCTCATGGACAGCTGTGATCCCACGGCTTTGGATACCTTCAAGGGCCCGGGGCAGGCTGAGCAGCTTATGAGTGTCAGGGCTGGAGGGAACCTTGAAGGTCAGCACAAAGTCCTCATTTCGTGGTGAGAAAACTGAGAACTGGAGTGGGAAAGGGGCTAGCTCAGTTCCTTGGCAGTGTTCGCTGGCACTTGCTCAAACCATGTTGCTACTCTAACAACTTTAAGAGGAAGGTGCTCTTTCCCTCGTGTGTGTGTGTGTGTGTGTGTGTGTGTGTGTGTGTGTTTTACCAGGGATTGAACCCAAGGCCTTCACACTGAGCTACATCCACCTTTTTAAGTTTTTATTTTGAGACAAGTTGCTTAAATTGCCTCAGCCTCACTGAGTGCTGGAATTACAGGTTTGCACCACCATGCCTGGCTTCCTCACATCTTAAATAAGGAAGCTGAAGCTCAGAGAGGCCATTTGGACTGCCAAAGGGCACACAACTTCCATCTAGAGGTGGGACAACAGCCTGAGTCTGACTCCAAAGCCCCTGTGGTCATCCAGCACATTCCTTTAGAAGGCACTTAATATGTTAAATGACTACTTCAGAAATACTGGACTCTGGAAGGAAAATACCTCTCCCAGCCTCCCACCCCTGCTTGGGCTGTGTGACATCCTCATGTCTAGGACAGTGAAGAGCGCCTAGCTGCTTCAGCAGCCATGTGCAATGGGGGAGGGGACATGTCCAAGCAATAACCTACTCTCCCATGCAGCTAGAGACTAGAATCGGCTCCGCATTTCTTGGTGTGTTCTCAAGTGACACGAGGGAACAGGAGGGAGAATGGGTGACTTCCTAGAGAGTGGGGTCACTTGGCTGCAGAGACCATGGATGCCGAACCCAGGGGGCACTTGCAGAGGAAGCTGGCAGGAAGCAGCCTAGCCCCCCATAGATCCTGGGGTGACACTGTGGACAGAGCTCTTCTTGAAGAGGCACGTTCAGAGGTCCAATCCTGGCCTCCCTGAGGGACTTCTTGTATTACTCTTCCCCAGAGGGCTCCCATGCTTTGATGGAGCTCAAGAGCTAAACAGTGTGACAGGGAGTTGGTTCTATTTAACAAGCGAACCAGAGTGCTCTCTTCTCGGAGTCTTGCTTTGAAATCTGACTCCGATGGGACTCTGGGCAAAGCACTTTGAGTCTCTGAGCCCCAGGTCCTGACAGGGACAGAGGGAAAAGAGCAAGGGGCCTGCACAGAAAGCCTCTCTGCCACACCAATGTCCACGCTGCTGTCAGGAGCTGAGGGGATGCCACTGCCCTGAAGTCCTTTTCTGGGCAGCTCCTTGCAGCCCGCTCTTGCTACTGTTCAGCCCCCCCCC